GTTTGATGTTTAGTAACGTCTCTTCAGTCTTCTTGTTTGTTTGAGACGGAGTCTCACTCTGTCACCCAGGCTGGAGTGTAGTGGTGCAGTCTCAGCTCACTCCACCCTGTGCCTCCCAGCTTTAAGCAATTCTCATGTCTCAGCCTCCCCAGTAGCTGGGATTACAGGCACATGCCACCACACCCGACTAATTTTTGCATTTTCAGTAGAGACGGGGTTTGCCCCTATTGCCCTGAGCTCGAAACTGGCCTCAAGTGATCTGCCCAACTCTGCCTCCCAAAGTGCTGGGATTACAGGCATGAGCCACTGTGCCTGCCTCTTCAGTCTATTTTAAAAGGATTATACTGTTAGTTTCTAACAATTATTTCTCTTCCTACCGGGTAAACTTCTGTCCAGAACCTGTGTTTTAATCGCTTCTTTGTCTTCTTCAGTTTCTTATTATGCTTGGAGGAGTCGAGGTGGGTGAGAACTCCCATAATTTTAGGAAAGCCATGTACTTGAAAGATGTTTAGAAACTCAAAGGTTTCCATTTCAGACCCAAAGCTGGCATCTATAAGCATCAGTACCTACAAACAGAACACATCATTTCTCAAAGAAACGACCAAAACAGACCACCTACACTAGGGGTTGGCAACTGGCCCACATGCCAAAGCCACCCATCACCTGTGTTTGTAACTAAAGTTTTATTGGAACACAGCCACATTAATTCATTTACATATTGTCTATGGCTGCCTGTGCACTACAACTGCAGAGCTAAGTAGCTGCAAAAGATACGATCCACAAAGCCGAAAATATTTAGCATCTGGCTCTCGACAGAAAAGTCCCACTGCAGACTAAATCTAATGACTACACAGGCATCACCCAGAGAAACCACCACCCTCTGACTTGCTCTAAAAGGCAACCACAAGACAATGCCCACTAGGATATAATCTTGCATTTTAAGAATTCTAATGCATGAGAAGTAACTCAGAAAAGGCTGGGTCTAACCTGGCCCTTACCTAAGAAATCCTAATTTAAAGAAATGAAGTTTTCTGTAATGTACTTTTAAGCCAAATAACAGGTCTCTGACATCCAAAAAATGGGAAGAAAGTGATAATCAATGAAATATATTAAATATATACAGAAAACCAACCTCTTCTTTCAATCTCTTCACAGAAAAAAAAAAAATCTGTTTTTTTGCTGAGAAGTATGCAGTGGAAACTTCTATCTTGTATGTTAATTTGTATAACTCAAGTACTCAGAATTTTTTTAAAATAGCTATCAGTTTAGGATTAAGTCAAAAAACAGTAAGATTATGATGAATGGTAGTCTATAAGAAAATACAAGCAGTAAGGCCATTTTTTTTTGTTTTTTGTTTTTTTGAGACGGAGTCTTGCTCTGTTACCCAGGCTGGAGTGCAGTGGCGTGATCTTGGCTCACTGCAAGCTCTGCCCCCCATATTCATGCCATTCTCCTGCCTCAGCCTCCCGAGTAGCTGGAACTACAGGCGCCCACCACCACGCCTGGCTTTTTTGCATTTTTTTAGTAGACATGGGGTTTCCCAGTGTTCACCAGGATGGTCTTGATCTCCTGACCTCGCGATCCACCCACCTTGGCCTCCTAAAGTGCTGGGATTACAGGCGTGAGCCACCGCACCCGGCCAAGACAAGTTTTTAAAATTTGAGACACTTCAAAGATGCAGAATAATTTCAGAATTGATTCCTGGAAACTTCTACTTTTAATATTAAAGATAGTTGTTTTTATCTTTCCATGAATAACTAAAAATAACACAAAATGGAAATAGAAATGCCCATCTTTGATTAAACTAGGAAACATTCAAAACCCGAAACCACAGAATATATGAAGTTGGGCTTGTAGGAAAGCACAGCTGCCACTGCAGACCGAGGCAGCAAGCAGAGCTCTCCAGCAACACTGGACCAGCTCAAACAACAGGTGGAAAATCCTCACACCACATCTGATGCCACAGAGTGCCAAGGGGCAAGCAGTTGGTTGTAGGGTCAGAAAGAACAGGGACCAAACAGTCCCTCAGCTGCCAATCTTTGTCATCTAAACCAGTGTTACTCCCCTAATCCACACACTCACGTATACACCCAAATCCATGCATTGTGTGTGTCTCTGCCATACTCAGGAGGCTCTGACAACCCAGAGCAGAGCAATCAACATAAGCTAGGCTAAATAAATTATGGTGCATCCATAGAATGGAATATTATATTAAAAAGGAGGAGGCAGAGCTACAGTACTTACTGATTATATACCTCCAAGATACATTACAGGAAAAAAGCAAAGCACAGAAGAGTGTGTAAAATAAGCTACCATTTGTGTTTTTAAAGGGTGGCATGTGTGTTTATATGTATCTGGAAGGATACTGCTCTGCAGGGCCCTGAGAGACCAGAGGTTAGAGCAAGGAAAGAGAAAACACACATTGTGTGTACCCTGCATTAGTTAGAGTGCTTTACCAAATGTGTGTGCTCCTTTTGAAAATCTTAAAAAGATTCACATAGGCATCTCTCTCAATGATGGTTAAGAGGCTGGGAAGGGGAGCAGGGAGGGAGGGACAAGAGGGAAAGGTTAACAGGTACAAAAATACAGTTAGATAGAATAAATTCTAGCATCCAACAGCACACTAGGGTGACTATAATTTATTATATAATTCAGAATAACGAAAAGAATGAAATTAAAATGCTCCTAATACAAAGAAATTATAAATGTTTGAAGTGATGGATATCCAAATTACCCTGATTTGATCATCACACATTGTATGCTTCTATCAAAATACTACATGTACCCCATAAATATGTACAACTATTATGCGTCCATAATAACTAAAAATAAAGTAAAGGCATCTCTTAACATGTATGTCTTTAAAATTAGAAACTTGCTACATTTTAAATGAAAGAGAAACAAATAACTTCTATGAACTATTTCAATCCTTTCAAGTATACAAGATTTAGTAATCTTTACACTTTACATTAATAACACTAATTTTTACTAATAGTAGCATAACATTTGAATGTTACTTAGTTTTCTGACATTACAACGGAACAACTTTAAAATCTGTACTACTTTTTCCTTTATATTTTATGAGTCTTCCTGGGTCAAAGTATAAAATCTGCAGCTCTAGAAAAAACTAAATAAAAATGAAAAAAAAAAGGTATCTGTCACCCCACACTTCCTAATCAATATGGCTTATCTTTGCTTTTTTTGCATTTTTTTTTTTTTCTGAGACAGAATTTCGTTCTTGTTGCCCAGGTTGGAGTGCAATGGCACAATCTCGGCTCACCACAACCTCTGCCTACCAGGTTGAAGCGATTCTCCTGCCTCAGCCTCCTAAGTAACTAGGATTCTAGGGATGCACCACTTCACCTGGCTAATTTTGTACTTTTAGTAGACATGGGGTTTCTGCATGTTGGTCTGGCTGGTCTTGAACTCCTGACCTCAGGTGATCCGCCCACTTCTGCCTCCCAAAGTACTGGGATTACAGGCATGAGCCACTTCGTCTGGCGTTTTTTGTTGTTGTTGTTGTTGCTAATTTGTATTTTATTTTTCTAATTTAAAAGATAGTTAATAGAATATCAGGAATAGTGAACATTATCATTTCCATAAATGCAAGAACGTGTACCTTTTCCACACACTGAGTACTACCTAAATTTTCTATTGATAAACTCTGACCACTTCTTCAGGCAATTCATGTACTTACTTTAGCATTATCATTAAGGATGAAGGTTCTAGAACCATCAAGAACAAGGGTCCCATCTTCACACAAGTTACTTAACTGCTGGGAGACTCTATTTCATCTTATGTAAACTACAGATAATACCTACTCACCTCAAGGGTGTACCAAGGGTTTATGCAAGCTAAATTTGTAGAAAGCAGTTAGCACAGTGCCAGAAAGGGTCCAAGAAGAAATGGTACTTACTATGATATATTTGTATGTATATATGTATGCATGTTAATGAGCTCTTATTAGCTGTGTTCACTAAAGGTTTTCTCCATCCTGTGATTTGCTTTTAGATTCTGGAATACATTTCATTGTGCACATTCCATTTGTATTATTAATATAATAACATTTGTTACTATTATTATTATCATCATCAATTCAGTCACATCTACTGTATCCCTGATGACGACCATGATTCCTTTAACAATCATAAAACTCTTTTCCCTTCACAGGGTAAATAACCTATCACAACGCTGTAAGTCTCCATCAGCACCCCAGGCTGCCCCTGCTGACTTACCAGATCTGCTGCTTTAGCCAGATCAATCATCATGTTAATGTCACACCCACATTCAATAACGGCGAGTCTGCGCTTTTTACCTATAACTGAAAAGATGAAATTTTTACTTTAAAAAAACCCTGAAAAAACTAACCATCAACTCTAATTTTCATTTTTTAATTGCATCCAGTAAAACACCATATACATTTACAGGAGTGTACCAGAAGTTCATTTTTATGGGCAAAAACTGGTAAAATAAAATAAATTCCATCGTGTTTTTCTTGCTGTGTTCTAAATTTAAGTAATATCAAAAGTCTACCCAGATGAATAAAACTGCTTGAACAGGGAAAATTCTGACTGGACAGGCTCCATGATAACCATGATCCTGCTGTTCAGCTGCGGGTGTCTTCACCTCTATCAAAACTTCCCATATTCCCACTATTGCTAAAAACATCCTCAAACATAATGCAACAGAATATTCATAACGATAATAATTTCTAAATTAAGGTAATAAGAAAATGGTCAAGAAAATAGGGGCTGGGTACAGTGGCTTACGCCTTTGTCCCAGCACCTTGGGAGGCCAAGGCAGGTGGATCCCTTAAGTCCAGGAGTTTTGAGACAAGCCTGGGCCACATGGGGAAAGCCCATCTCTACAAAACCCCAAAAAAGAAAGGAAAAAAAAGAAAAATTAGACAGGTGTGGTAGCATACATTACTCAGGAGGCTATGGTAGGAGGATTGCTTGAGCTTGGGAGGTTGAGGCTGCAGTGAGCTGTAATCACACCACTGCATTCTAGCCTGTGCCACAGAGTAAGACTCTGTCTAAAAAAAAGGAAAAGAAAGTATGGATGCTCCAAAGAAAAAAGTCTCAATCCAACTATGTTACTGCAATAACAAGAGATTTCAGAGTGTGCACTGCCATTCTACCACCGGAAAGTTTGTTTCATCTTCCCTCAAACTTCGAAAGGTCACCATCTCCCAAAGCAAATTCTCATAAGAAAAAGAGAAAACATGCACTTCCACCAGCATGTGGCTTCATAAGGGCAAGCATGTGCACCTGACACATAGGAGATACGTGCTATTTGTTAAATACATACGTGTTAAGTGATGTGTTCACAGTGACCAGGCCTGCTAGGCCCTTCCAAGGAACATGCTTGGCAAAGCCATAGAGCAGTCAAGATAAGATATATATCACATTCTTATCTCTGGGAACTTACCCTTTTCTGAAGTTACAGCTAACTTAGTAAAAGTATAAGAGAGATAACATGATATGACAATATTTAACATGCTCCATTCAAGAAAACAACAAACACATGTATGTCCCTCAGATGACAACAGTCACGCCAACTCTGTGTCTGCGGCAGCATCTTCTACCTGACACGATCGTCACAGGGCCTCTGATCTCGGTAAACTTCTACTGGGTGAAGTTCCAAATGAGGCATTATATCAAAGAGGTCTTTCCAACTTTGGAGGCCCCATCACCACTGCCACTATTGGTGGGGGCTCTAGTGGAGTTTGATCAACCACTGGAATATGATGCTTTTTTGTCTTCAAATCCTGAGTCCTATTCATTAAAGAAAAAAAAAAGTAAACTCAGTCTCAAAATAGAGTAAAAGGTATCAACCTTATAAGTAGACTTTTTTTGGTATACTTATAGATATGAGTACTTTAGTATATTTTATAGAGAGTACAACAGACAATAAATATAATTAACTTGTCAATTATTAACTTCTGACCCCCATCCAAATAATTACTGTTCAATAAAGATGAAACAAGATAACTTCAATAATATAGAGATGAAAATTAAATACTCCTTAAATCTGACTGTTTTAGGAGTGATTTTAATCGTTTTTTAAAAACCAAAAGGTAAATACCGAGGCAGTGCATCATAACAGACAAGAGCAGAGGCTCTGGAGTTAAATTTGGCTCTCCTACTTACTAGTTATATGATTGGAGGTAACGTGTTTTCTTGACCTCAGTTTTCTTGTCCATAAAATGAGGGCAGGAATGATTCCTACTCTGGTAAGGCTGCTGGAAGGATTTAGTTGAATAATATTTAAAGCCCACTGCTAAGAATATCACAAGGACTCACTAAATAAAGCTATGTTAGTATTACATATTGTAATTTTTGTATTTTATATTACAACTTTGTAAAAGTTGGAGGGAAAAAGCACACTTATCATCACTGTAGAAACAATTTAAAGTTTAGGAAGAAACAAATTCTATAAATTCTTGTATTTTGGGCAAGAAACACCAACCAGTGTGCAGATGCTGGAGGCAAGGCAGCTTCTATGGGAAGGCTTCTCATGTTTTAGTAAAAGCCACACAGCATGCATCTGCATGTCCTTTGGAGCTGGACTAGACTTGTGACTCCAAATGTCACCTGTGAGAGGCTCCTGCTATTTAAAAAGAATCAAAGGAAGAACCATCAGGCTATAGGTAAACACACCTGTGAAAGTATCGCGCCATCCCCACAGCAGACGGAACTGCAAAGCTTTGGGATTTCTCTTCTGGGCATCTTCTTCGTCTCCTAGCTGCAGATCCTGCAGATGCCGCTTCTTTTTCTTTGCAGCTTTGGGTCCACTGTTTTTCTTTCTGTGTTTCTCTGGTCCTTACTTTCCATAGTGGCTACTTACCAATAAAAAGTAACTGTAACCTACAAGGAAGAAGGTTGGGGTAAGGAGGTGGGAGAGCATTTTACAATCCAGTCAATACACAGGGGAAAACATTAAATTTCATTTATTTCTTTATGAAGAGATGATGTATTTGTTCACTGAACAAGGATAGGAACTGCTTAACCATCCCCAATTTCATTTCTCTCTGTTATGCTATAAATTAGATGAGTTACCTCTGCTAAGGTTACATTTTATGGTTAAGTTACTTTTTATTGATATTAAGTGTCAACATCAGCACTACTATTTCTGCAAGGATGGAAATACTCTATATCTGTACTTTTCAGCTATTTAGCCTTCAGCCACATGTGGTTACTTAAAACATATTTAGAGAAACTGAAAAAATGAATTTTTAATTAATTTCATTCTAACTCTAAATAGTCACATGTGGCTACCATACTGGACAGCTCATACCTAGATATCAACCAGACTAATGAAGTGGTTTCCTAACTTAAACTTAAATTTTAATAAAAAATTTAAAACCTTTTTTTGAACTTCCAATATGATCACAGTATTACTTTTAGTACCTGTCGACTCTGTAAAACTCCTAAATTACAACTCATCTACATACATTTGAAAAATAGTAGTATCTGTATGTATGAGATATGACTAGTTCTAGATGACGCCTGGAGACCCCATGGACTTACAGAGACCCTTTCAGTGATTTCTGAGGTACCAGGGAATCTGTGGCCAATAAATTGGTAATCACTGAATTAGTGAGTTTTTTAAGGATATGGGGCTGCATAAAATCTGACAGCTTAATTGAAAAAAAGCGGAGCAGGGTGCCATTTCATTCAATTAAGGTCCTGTATTAATTCCATTTAATAAACGTTTGTGTCTCTGATGTGCTAGCCACTGGGCCAGTAAATGGATATAGCTATGATCTGACTGGCAGAGAAAATCCAAACTGGTGTCTTCCGTGCCATGCAATGAGGGCTACATTGGAAGGCTGCACAGGGTGCTGCTCGAGCATAGAGGTGAGTCAGAGACTTCCCACAGACACACACACACCAGCGGAAACAGAAAGTCTTTATATATCATCATATTGTCAAGGAACACCGGCCGGGAGTTAGGAGGGCTGGGAACTAGGAACGCTTTGAAACTGAATAGCTGTGTGATTTCAGAGATCATGTTGCTTCTCTATTTCAGTTCCGAACTTGTACTAATATTTCTCTCCCTTTTGCTTTTGGTGGGAAAAGCACAATTTGGGGTCAACAGATTCGGCTCACGTCGCCAGGAAACGACGTCTCCAGGACATCTTCCCTCCCAGTCCGGGCTCTCTGCAGGGATTCATCCCGTCACTCTCCCAACAACCCCCGGGGCACACCGCCAGCAGATGCTCGGGAGCAAAGATGAGTCGGAGGACCGGGGGAGGACCTTCCCAAGCGCACGACTCGCGATCTTCCCAGTGCCCCAGGGCCAGGGACCCCACCGCCGCCTACCCCACCGCCGCCTACCCCAGCCCACCGCCGCCTATCCCAGTCCGCCGCACCACCGAACCTGCTCACGACTACGACTTCGCAGGTCCGCTTGGACACCGCCGGAAACGGAAATTCACAGTGGCGCCGACTCGGCGGAGGGAAACAAAAAGACAGAAAGAAGAGACCGGCGCCTGGAGGACGTTTAGGGGAGAGCTGGAGGAAAGACCCCCC